CAGAAAGCTCTGCCCTCACGACTCAGTGTCACATTCAGCCCTTCTACAAGAGTCACTGCTTCAAGAAAATTCCATCTAGGAGTCTAAAGGTTGGCATTAGAAGCCGTGAGTAGCATATACCCCTTGGACTGCAGTTTCTTGATGGCCTTGACTCCTTTATTACTTGTACACTCATCAGTATTGTTTTGGTTTGTTGTTGAAACTTGTTTTGAAATGGAGTGTCTTTCTATTGTTGCCCATTTGGTCTTGAACTCTAGGCCCACTCTATCTTCTCACCTCAGCCTCCCATGTAGCTGGGGCACGGGCATGCCATTGTGCCTAGACCTTTTATTAGGCACATGACTCTACACAGGCTCTCCTTTCATTTTAGCCTTCTGGGCAAGGGTTGTCAGATGGTCAAGCAAGTTCATATTCAGGAAGCAGGCAGACCAGAGCTGTCCTTTCTCTGCTTTAGTTATGGTGAAATGTGAGCAACTATGTATTTGAAGGAAGCCCTTTAGCCACACATGTGCACTAAGCAAGAACTGTACTTAAAACAGACAAAACTGAAGGCAGCTGAGGAGCCCTTCATTTTGAAAACACAGGGAAACCTACCAGCTAACAAACCCTGTCCATAAACCATGATTTTGAATCAGAATTTAACCACTTGTGATTCCCCCCACCCAGGTTTATTGTGTAAAGAACATTTAACAAGAGGTATGCCCTTGTAACAGGTTTTTAAATATATGAGACAATAATGCTGTCTGTAGCTATACATGCTTGACAGATCCACAAAACTAACCCATCCTGCATCTTTGTTGTTGGTGATGATGGTGATAATGTGTCAGTAGTCTCTCTGTGTATGTGTGCATGTGCATATGCATGTGTGTGTGTGCGTGTGTGTGTGGGCACAGGTGTGGGTATGCAAAGGCCAGAAATAAATATCAAGTGTCTTCCTCTGTTGCTCTGTACACCTTATTTTTTCAGACTGGGTCTCTCAGCCAACTCAGAACTAATAGATCAGTAGACTGACTAGCTAGTGAACCCCCAGAATCCTACTGTCTCCACTAGTGTTACATATACTGTGGTGCCCCCTTTCTTTGTGGGTACTTAGAATTTGAACCCAGATCCTCTTGCTAACAAAGCAAACGGTTCATTGTCTAGTCATATCCCCAGTCCCTGTAGATTAACTATGCTCCCTTCCTGCCCCCAGCCCCACCTGGTAGCCACATTCCACTGGCTTCTGCATTGAACTATTTAAATTCTTAATAGAACTAGAATCCTGACATAGTGGTCAATCCATAAATGGGCTTGTTTCATGTACCATTATGTCTGCTAGGTTTATTCATGTTGACCTCCAATTCTGTGTGTGTGTGTGTGTGTGTGTGTGTGTGTGTGTGTGTGTTAGAAACCAGGCTGAAACATTCTGAGAACTAAGGAGTGGGAAGTTGTCATGATGACCAATGTTTCCTTGCAACCTAATGACTTTGTCTTCAAAGTCCTTCTGGCCTACTACTTCCAAAGTATGAGCTCTTGAAGAAAATCTAAGGGATTCCTCTAAGTGGATGGGAAATTAAAATGTCAAATTAGAAACATTAGCAGGCCTTGCAGAAGAGACATGCTTACACAAGGTAAAACCATATCATAACATAGCATATAACATAGAATATTTAAAAATTCCTTACAATATAGAAAATCACAATTTAGACAAGCATATATCACCTACAGAAATGGTCATAATGAATACCTGTGTGAGAAAAAAGTGTGAACTATAAAATGTGTGCACTGTGTATTTTTATGAATACAAAGTCCGAAGCCTCTTCGTGTAACCTCCACCTCTAAAGCCATTCCGGTTGTGAACTGAAGGTGGCAAGATCATAAACTAGAGGGCAGAGTGCAGAGCATTTTCAATCAAGGCTGCAAAGTCTGCTTTTCAAAAGACATTGGCCCAGAAGAGATGGAGTCATTTTATCTTTCTAGTTTCATGATTTTACTTCTAAACTTTATTTTTTGTGGCTCTTGGGTGCTCTGGCTAAAGCAAGAGGCCCAGTAGAAGTCCTCAGGGGGGAGATGTGTCCTAAGGCTGGGGTAACATTGATGGGAACAGATGGCACTCAGCAGGGCCAGAGGGGACAGAGCATGACAAGTCAGAGGACAGCTTTAGAATACACTTGTCCCTCCCACCTTCTTTGAGCAGGGTCTCATGTTTTTGCTACTGTGCTCGTTCTCCAGGCTATCTGGCCCACAAGCTTTGAAGACAGTCTCCTGACTCCAACTCAAACCTCGCCATAAGGTTGATATTACAAATGCTCACCACTGGATCTGCTTTGTACAGGTTCTAAGGATCAAACTCACACCATCAGGCTCGTACGACAAGTGCCTTACCCACAGAGCCTTCCCTCTGACCCTTGTCTTGTTTTTAAGTGTTTATTTAAAATGCAGGACCAGAGTACTTACATCAAATCATGATCCTCAGAATCACCTATGTGCTGGGTGTCGGGGTGGGTTACGATCTAAATGATGCTGGTGTGAAAAGCCTATGCATTCATCTGCCTGGGAAATGAGGTAGTGACCGTAAGTACAGTATTTAACTGCAAAAGCAGTCTGGCCCAGGAGTAATATGCACAAAAAGCAGGAGGCAATGTCTGGAGCTCTGAGTTTGCCAGCATTAGAAGCTGGTCAGAACAGGACAGATAGGAGCAGGCAGCAAACCTGGAAATTCGTGGAGTCCGAGTGGGGTGGCTTGTTTATTAATACGAGTATAGTGAGACTGGAAATCTCTGAGCATGTTTATAAAGTCATTGGGCATCCAAGCAGGAGGAGGGCGTCATTGCTCCTGGGTGAACAGAAGTCTGTATTACGTATTATGATTGTCTTCCCTCTGTGTGCACGCATGCGCAGAAAGGGAGAGGGATGGTAGGTTACAAGCTTGAGATCTGTAGGATTAGTCAGTGCTTTGTCCTAAGTCTAAACTGTTTGGCTGTGTCTTGACTGACATGCTGCCTGTGGGTTTCAGCTTCTGGCTCACAGTACTGTTTTTGAAGTAACCAGTGATGGAAGGCTTCCGGAACATGACGGTAGCTGGAAACAAACCTACACCCAGCCTCTCCCTCTCTCTCTCTCCCTCCCTCCCTCCCTCCCTCCCTCCCTCCCCCCCCCACACATACACATACACACATGCGCACATACACACATACACACATACACACATGCACACATACACACACACCTTACTTCATTCAAGGTGTGCTCTAATTACATGGAAAATTTTGTATTAAGTCTGGAAAAGTTTGCGTCTTGCCTCAAGACTGGCTGTTTCACTGGGTGAGTATTTTTAAGCAGGGGCAGGACCTAGCAGTGAGCAAATAATTGTTCAGTTTATTCCATTAGCAGCAGAGCTAAATTTGAGAACGGAGGTCTGGGCGGCCTTAAGATGAGCTTATGCTTTAGGAGAGAGAACACAACACCTAAAACTGAAAACAAGGACACAGACTCTTTACTGTCAAGTATACCACAGTTGACGTGAGGTTAAAAAACCAGAAAAGTCCAGATACCTAGCAAACAGACTAATCCATGAATGAATTAGATACAATTTGTTGTTGTCTTGAAAGGTGTCCCTCTCAAGTTTGAGGCCAACCTCAAACTCTTGGCACTTCTCCTTCCTTATCCCCCCCACCAGGTGCTAAGATTACAGGCTTGAGTAACTACATCCAGATTTATATGAATTTTTTTGCAATTATTCAAGATACATAAATGAATTGGAAGTATTGTTACATTAAGTAGGATGATAAATGTACAAGCTATACAGCAGTGGATCTCAACCTTCCTAACAGCTGCAACCCTTTAACACAGTTCCTCTGTTGTGGTGACCCCTGTAATTTTGCTGTTATGATTGTAATATAAATGTCTGTGTTTTCTGATGGTCTTAGAGAAGCCCTGTGAAAGGGTTGTTTGACTCCCCCTCCAATGGGTCAGTTTGAGAACCACTGCTATAGAGCACAATGTCTAACAAGTAAAGAAAAATAATCATAAAAGGAAATGGCTAAACTGCATCAATATGCTGTTTGTGACTCTGGAAGATCAAATACAAAGTATTTTTCTTTTGTATTTCCTTTGAGATAAACTCATGTAGCTCACACTGTCCTCAAACTCATTATATAGTGAAGGATGATCTTGAACTTCCGATCCTCCTGCCTCTACTTCTTCTGGGATGGACACCCAATATTTACCACAAACCAGAGCTTTGGGCATGCAAGACAAGGACTCTACCTACCAAGATACACTCTAGCCCTTCTTTACATTTCATTTTTTAATTTATTTTAAGATTTATGTCTATAAAATCTAGAGTATAAATAAATAAATAAATAAATAAATAAATAAAAGATTAAAATTTAAAAAAAGATTTATGTTTATTTTATGTGTATAGGTGTTATGCTTGAGTGTATGGCTATATACTAAATGCTTGTAGTGGCCGAAGAGGCCAAAGGAGGATGTCATACTCCCTAGAACTAGAATTACAGACAGTAGTGATCCACAGTGTGAGTGTTGGATTCTCTGTAAGAGCAGCAAATACTCTTGATGATAAGCCAATATATACATGATATGTATATATTTCTATGAAATAGGTGAAAGGACTTTTCTTGTTAACCTCTTTTTAAACTAATTAGAATTAGATACATAGAAGGATATAAAGATAGATACATAGATAGATACATACATACATAGATACATAGATAGATACATTGATAGATTGTTTGATAGATACATAGATACATAGTAAGCACCCGGCTCCTTGCTATTTAGTGAGCAAATTCTAGAGGAACAATGAGCTCTACTGAGCTATATAAAAATAACTGTCTTTGAGCCCAGCTCTTTCACGCTGGTTATCCTTTCACCAGCCTGCATGCACTGTGTGTGGATTTTGCTCTGTGGCACCCATGTCTGAACCACTCTCTATACCAAACAGGAAATGGGTGAGCCAATTACACAGTAGGTAAAGTTTCAATTTTATAATGTTTAACTTGAAACGAAAAAGAGCTGTGATTTTTGTTAGATATATTTAATAGAATAAGCTGAACAGAAGCCTAATACATCCCAACTGTGAGAACTATAAAAACAAGTGTATTTTTCTTAGCATATTTTTCCAATAGTATTTCATGGCTTTGGACTGACTTACATATTGGTATTACAGGGTGAAACCTTTTTTTTTTGTCCCATACATTTTAATTGAGAAACAAGGCTGAGTTTCTTCTGTCTTTGGACATTAGGTGAATGAAGTTCCATCTCTGTGAAAAGGTGTCCATTTTATCCTAGAGTGAGAAAAAAAAAAAACATGACAGCAAATGTGTTTTATGAGGAGATGATCTTCAATCCTGACCCCATTTCAATCTAACTTTAGAATCCTAGCCCTCATGGTGGTTCACCTACAAGGCAGAATGTGAAAGCCACACACTTCCTAATGACCTGGAAGCCAACACTTTCTTATGACCCAGAAGCCCCAATTCACCCCTAAGCCCCAAGTGTTGGAGTGTGGTTCTGGGCAATGTCAGCACATGCAGGTGCTGGCTTGAAAAGGCCTTGGACCCAGACTAATCTGAAGCAGCATCTGAGTCGTCGTTAGGAACCCATTTATTTACTCTGTGGGCGTGTTCAAGTTTACAGTGGGCTAAATGACTGTTTTCTCTTTCCGTTTGTTAACACGGTGCAGAATAAGGAAGTGGTGAGGACAAAATGAGCTAAGCTCATGGTGCAATAACAGTGGCTACTGAGAGTCTCTAAATCAGGCTGAGAACCCACCGCACAGCCACGACTCTTACACTTGGAAGAGACACTCTTGATCACACACACGTGAACAGAGAGAGAGACAGAAAGACAGAGGGAGGGGGAGGGGGAGAGACAGGGGGAGAGATGGGGAAGGAGAGGGAGAGGGAGAGGGAGAGGGAGAGGGAGAGGGAGAGGGAGAGGGAGAGGGAAAATATGTAGGAGTTCTTGAAAACACAGAAAACTTGAAAAGTGTGACAGGGTCCAGGATACATATAAAATGTATGTACATTATAATTCAGTAATTAGGTTCCCCTGCTCCCCTCATCCATTCTGTATCCTGTTCAACCCACACACTTGTGGAGAGGGAGATGTGGTTGGCAGCAAGTAGTTTCTGAGCACACAGTCGATGACATTCACCACAGATTCTTTGGCTCCTTCAGCTGCTGGTCATTCTCACAACAAACTAATAGTGAGCTACATCATGGAGAGCAAGATACTGTCCTCGTCTTCACAGAGCTGGTGTGTGTGTGTGTGTGTGTGTGTGTGTGTGTGTGTGTGTGTGTGAGCATGTATGCATGAGACTGTGTGCACATATGTACATGTGCACAATGGAGACCAGGGGTCAGTGTAAGTGTGACTTGACTGTCCCCACCCTAGTCGTTGAGACAGGATCACTCACTGGACCTGGAGCTTACTGAATTGGCACGGCTTGTTGGCCAGTGAGCTCCAAGGATCCTCCAGATCCTATCTATCTAGGATCACAGGATAAATTAGGTTTACTCAAAGCACTGACTATTGTCTGGGTTGTAGATGTACTCTCTCTCAGATTCTAATGCTGCCTTGCACAGCCCTGACACTTATGCCTGGTTAAGCACACTGATTTAATTGGCTCCACCCTGTTGTTCTGTGACCAGAATCTCTGTCAGGATGACTAGTGGTTAAGCACAGTCTTGGAAGCCAGACGGACAGAGGCTGGTAATTTCCACTATACGACCCCTTGGACCCTAGATAATAATGTCCTTCTTGTCACCAAATTGTCCTACCTGGAAGACGGAGCTTATCATCTTCAATGTTTGGTCATGTGGCCTACACAATTCTGTAAAATGCTTACTGTCCCACCTCGCATGAGGTAAAATCATGGCAGCTGCTTTATTATTGCCAACCCACACTCACGGCTGAGTCCTGTTCAGTTCTGTCCTTTAATCTTGTGTCTCAGTCCTCAGTGGCTTCATCATCCATGTCTCACAGGCCCATCCCCAGGCTCCGAGTTTGTAGTACTTGGGCTGCACCCCCTTGTCACTTACGGCCACTACATCCCCAGTCTTTGGGCTCTGGGCACCAGAGCACTTCATAGATGAGGGCATGGGCTCTGGGGATGTGCTGCCAGGGCTCAAAGCACTTCCCTCTCAATAGCTAAGTGACATTGGGTAAATTCTTCAGCCTTTCTGTGCCTCAATGTCTTCACCTGAGAAATGGATTGTGCCCATTCCTTATGTCAAGTGTAATTCTTAAACAGAACAATATGTTAAGAATCTGAAACAAGTAGTGCTCATAGAATTTGCTGACATGACTCATATCCTGGTTAAGAGTACATGGAATGGGACTGACTCACTGATTAAAAGCATGGATTACTCTATCAGAGGATCTCTGACCTCTGACCTCTGGCTTCTGTGGGCACTTAGCAAACACACATAACAAAAATGTCTTTAAAAAGGAAGGAGAGAGACAGGGACAGGGACAGGGACAGGGACAGGGACAGGGAGAGAGCATGTTTGGCTTCTGTGTGCTGCTGCTTTTGCTCACAGGGTTACCTCCCAGCTGTAAAGTGACGTTCAGGACTCATGTACCAGCCACATGTCCCTACAGTATCTGCACATAATTCTGTGGTCAAGACTTCTGTTTCCCTCCCATATCCTGCTAAATATTTGTGACAGACACTGAGACAGGAAGGAATGAAGGATGCTTCTCTTAAGCTTATGTTTTCGAATAGACACGTGGCCCATGTGCCTAGAATAAGGGGAGACCAAAAGGTCCAGGCAAGAGACCTGAGGAGTCCTTCCTTCATTCCCTCACCTCCCTTTTGTCACCCACTTAGAAGGAAGGAACGAACACGGTCCCTCCCCTAAAGCCTGGCTGCGTGCAAGAAACACTTGTGTGTACAAAGTAGAGTCAGACGTCTAAGCCAAGGTATGAACTTCTCTGATGTCTGTGAAGGTGTGCTCCTCAGCTGAACTGTTTGAGTCTCAGCATAACAGACAGTGGATAAGTAAACTGTGACCAGACAGAAGCAAGGCCGGAAAGGTTGGCCTCTGACTGAGGTGCTTACGGATGTGCCCCTTGTTTGTAAGCTGTGGGACCCCCTCGGGCTGTCTGTGGTTCAGGGTCCTTACTTCTAAGTCCTCCGTGCCTCGAGTAGTACTTGGCTTGTGGGAGTGAGCTGTTTCTGCTCTGCTGTCCTGGTATCATGCCTCCCACGGGGAGATTCCTTCGAATGCTCCAGATTCCATCCAGGGCCACTGTGAACGTGTTAGGAGCAAGACAACAACAGTGAGTGGTATATATCCTCCTCCGAGTGCAAAGTGCTTCAAAGGGGTTTTCCTGGGTGATTGGACCTCCAATTAATTGGGTAGAATATACTTGACCAGATTCATCAAGCCACATGAGGTGTTTGCCATCTATTTAATCTTTGATACATTTCATGCATTCAGTGATGAAATTAAATCACTGTGTGCTCTTATGTTTGAGTCTCCACAAAGACATGAAAGGTCGTTATGGTAACATATATTGCAAATATATATAAATAAATAAGACAAATTCTACATATTGTTGAGTTTTTCATATCTCATTCTAATGTAATTCCTTCATTAAGTGGGAATATTTTCACAGATTAAGAAACATTCAGAAGGGGGAAAGCAGCAGCAGCAGATCCAAGATGGCAGCCAGCAGGAGGCTGATGAAGGAACTTGAAGAGATCTGCAAATGTGGAATGAAAAACTTCCGCAACATCCAGGTTGATGAAGCTAATTTATTGACTTGGCAAGGGCTTATTGTTCCTGACAACCCTCCATATGATAAGGGAGCCTTCAGAATTGAAATCAACTTTCCAGCAGAGTATCCATTCAAACCACCCAAGATCACACTTAAAACAAAGATCTACCACCCTAACATCTACGAGAAGGGGCAGGTGTGTCTGCCAGTAATTAGTGCTGAAAACTGGAAGCCAGCCACCAAGACTGACCAAGTAATCCAGTCCCTCATAGCACTGGTGAATGACCCCCAGCCTGAGCACCCACTCCGGGCTGACCTAGCTGAAGAATACTCTAAGGACCATAAAAAATTCTGTAAGAATGCTGAAGAGTTTACAAAGAAATATGGGGAAAAGCGACCTGTGGACTAAAATCTGCCATGAGTGATTCCAGCAAGTTTGAGCAGAGACCCCGAGCAGTGCATTCAGACACCCCGCAAAGCAGGACTCTGTGGAAATTGACACGTTCCACCAACTGGCGTCTGCTTGTGGCAGTTAACTAACTTTCTACAGTTTTCTTAATCAAAAGTGGTCTAGGTAACTTGTAAAGAAGGATTAAAAAAATTCAGATGTTAAAAAAAAGAAAAAGAAAGAAAGAAACATTCAGAAGACTTTAGACTCTCCTAAAAGCCATCAGTCAGGTGTGGCTTAATGTCCCCATGAAAACTCCGTGACAAACTCAGTGTACCCTACTGTTACAGTGCTGAACACCTGGAAAATGGCATCTGCACTGTGATCTGCAGACGGCAGGTCTGGGATCCTGAAAAGGATGCCTGTACATCAGCACACGTCTAAGCGTTGCTAATACTTTGTACTTTTTGATCCCCACAATGTCCTAAAACCATCTGCTTAGCTTCTTCTTTAACTTCTGCGCTGGCTAGTTTTATGTCAATGTGACACAAGCTATTCATTTTCGAAGAGAACCCTCAACTGAGAAAATGCCACCACTAGATTGGCCTGTGGGCTAAGCCTGGGGGAGGGGACATTTTCTTGATTGATGATAGATGAGGGAGGGTCCAGCTCACTATGGGTGGTACCAAACTTGAGCAGGTAGCCCTGGGGTATATAAGAAAGCTTGCTGAGCAAGCCAGGAAGCGGCAACCCTCCTCAGCCTCTGCATCACCTCTTGCCTTGACTTCCCTAGCGATGAAATGTTACCTGGAGTTATAAGCTGAAAAAAACCCTCTCCTCCCCCACGTGCTTTGGTCATGGAGTTTATCACAGGAATAGCAACGCCAACTAAGACAAATTTAATCACAAAGAGAAGCACAATCCACGCTGAGTTAGTGAACTCAGGTAAGCTGCTATGACTTGTTATGATTCTGAGCATGTGTGAGCATTTTATTGCTGAATATTCTCCTCAGAGCCAGCAGCAGTCTCACTAATGCTCTCATGACACTTGGTACCTTCCTAAAAGATTCCACAGGAAGCAATGCCGGAGGGTGGGGGGGACAGTCTCTGGGCTCAGAGGAGAGTGGGGGCTTCAGTCTCAGTTCTCCCAGCACGGACTGAGAGAACCTGGACAAGTTGTGTTAACGTGCTGGGTTTGTTTCCTTAGATTTGAAATGGGGATAATACCGCCTTGTCAGATTCTTCTTGGATGTGGACCGGATGCATATAGAGGGCTTTGTGTTTAACAAATGGTTGCTGTTGTTTTAGCAAGGAGAGTGATTTCACTCTCAAAGGGTGACCTCAGAGTCTGTCTGCAGAGGTGCAGCTCCAAGGGCTTGCCAAGTTGAGTGTTGTTACCCTAGCCTCTCTTGAACCAACCGGGAGAGTGCCTTAAGCTGCCTATCAAGATGAGAGCCAGCTTTTTCTAGGTCCTTAAGGACAGACTTCACAGTTGCTTTCTGTCAAGATCTTATGAAATCAAAGCCATTCTTTGAATCTAACCTAAATCTTCCCCTCCCATTCAAGCCAATCTCCTCCTCTGTCCTGTCTAAAGAGAGAAAAGGCTCCTCTCAGCCACTGAGAATAGGTTCCCAAAGGCAGGGGACCATAAATATTTGCCCTAGAAGATCTAGTAGGTAGAAAGCAGTTTACAATCTAGAGCAGGGCTCTGCACACCAGCCACCACATTGAATTGGATATGAAAGTGTTGTGAGGGCCAACTCTGGTCGTGTTCTTCCTGATACAATCACAGGAGTGCTAAAGGTTACAACTGAACAGAGAAAACATTCAAAATATACGTACAGATGCTAAGGAGTGTTAAAAACCTCAAAGTAAAACACATTGTGCGTAAGTGATTATATTGCTTTCAAAGAAGAAGACTGATTTAAAAAAAAAACTAGTAATAACACTGTTTTTATTCAATGTGAAACTTTGGGTGAAGAAGTTACCAGAGCTGACATGCTCAAGTAGAACAAAAGATGCTCTGGAGTCCTTTGATACACTGCTCTATTGGGGGAGTGACCCCCATGCTCCAGAGATGTGCCTTTTAGAAGGCAGCAGGAAGACAAGACAGGGGTGGTACCAGCAAAGCCTCAGAACCTCTATACCTGGCGAGGAAAGGAAGAGAGCACCAGGCCACAAAGATGCAGATCTTGTCTAGATCTCTAGAACATTCTAGAGATTCTTTTTTTCTCCTCATACCCTTGACCGTTTATATTCAAGGACCTTTTTCTGTCAATTTTGTTTCTAAATTTAAAAAAATACAAAACCACTCCCTAGAGATTCTAGCCACTGCCTCAGGTTGATCTCACAGGGAAGTTAATCTTATCTTTAAAAATATGTGTTTGTTCTGGTTGCCTCTCTGTGGGCTGAGCAGTGAACGAGAGGCCCTGAAAGGCCAGTTTTAAGCCCTGCCTCCCATGCTTCCCTGTATTAACATGCTCCAAGATTTGACAAGGGGAAGAAAAAATTCAAGAGATTTTAACCAGCGTACAGTGACTCCTGGGCCCTTGACCTGCCTGCTGGGAGGCCTAGCTTAGGCGTTATACATTATGCATTGTACATTGTACCTTATGCATTGTAGATACACAGATCTGATAGTACTTGGAGTTTGGGGGGGGGGAGGTCAAACCCAGGACCCTGTTGCATTCTAGACAAGTGCTCTATGACTGGACTATATCCCCAGCCCGTTTTCTGGGTTCTTTAAGACAGGGACTAACATAACTCAAGCTGCCCTCAAACTCTCAGAGATGTAGTCAAAGATGACTTTGAACTCCCGATTATTGCTGCTTCCACTCAAACATTTGGGTTACAGGTACGGGTCTGATTTTTTATGTTGACAACTGGTTCTGATAAAGTATACACTCCAGAGGAAATATACGTACTTGAAGGGTAAAGTTGGCGCATGCCCAGTGGTTTGGGAGCAGAAGATTTTGGAGTAGCCATGTCATTTGGTGGCCTCTGATGCAGGGGAAGGAGTAAGTTGGTGAGGTGGGGTGGGGTCAGGTGAGAGGAGTTAATTTTTTCCTAGTGCTGATCCTGAGTGACTAGGGGACATCCAGGAGAGAGTCTGCCTAGGGACACAACTATCCAGAGTGCGCTAGTAAGATCACAGTGGAGGAGCTAGTGGGGCAAGATTAGAAGATGGTAGATATCATCCTGGCAAACCTGAGTGTTGGGCAAAGGGAGGTAATAATAGTCTTTAAGGAGCAAAAGAAAAAGGTGTTCCAGGAAGAAGGCCAGGACAACTTAGTGTCATAGAGTCCAGGGAAGAACCATCGGGCACATTAAACATTGAACCCTCGAGCCAGTGAGCAGTGGCACAAACCCCACAGGGCTTGGCTGGGCCACTGTAGAGGTTTGAGTGTGGAGGTGACCTGATTAGTCCTGTACACCATTCTTGTTTCTGTGTAGAGAACGGACTTAGGAGAGCACAGTGAGGCAGCTGCAAGCCCTGCTGCTCTTGAGAGAGGGAGGAGAAGGATGAGGTGGTCAAGGGTGCAGCTGGGGAAACTTAGGGCTCTTCCACACATGGAGTCAGCAAGTTTAGCCATGGTCTGGAATGGAGCTTGAGGACCTGACTTCTAAATGTTGCCCTAATCAAGTAAACGGAATGTGTGCTACTTCTTGATGTGGGGAAGAGCCTTGAAGTGTGGGTAAAAAAAAATACCTGGGTACAGAATTAGAGCTCTCTTCAGGATGTATTAACTTGGGGGAGTGCAGTCATCAGACATCCATTTGGAAAGCGCTACGCTCACCGCTATACTGCCAATGCAACCAGACATCCAGTTGGAAAGCCAAGTAGGCTCAGAGGTTTGAGGAGGGAAAACGGAAGCTAGGCGTTTTGGAGTGGTTATCATTATAGGGCCATGTGTAACAGCTGGATGTAGTGGTGCATGTTTTAATCCCAGCATTTGGAAGGCAAAGGCACGTAGATCTCTATAAGTTTGAGGCCAGCCTAGGCTATGTATAGAGACCCTGACTCAAAAACAGGGGGTGAGTTATCCATATTTTTGAGGCCAAGTGGAGGTACAGAAGTAAGGGAGAAAGGGGGGACAAAAAGATCGGAGCTGAGCCAGGGGAATGAAGATTGATGCTCTCCGGGCCATATTGAGGCTTTGAGAGCAGAAAAAGAAAAGGAGTAGATATTCATGCCAGGTGCCACTGAGGGGATGGATATACAGGAGAAATTACAGGTTTGGGCCTTCAAACAAACTTTTTGGGGACCAAAGTGTACTTACAACAGGGACAAAAGAGGAACAAAAGACAAATAGACACGGAAGTAACCCTCCATGTGCACTCACTCTTAGCATCTATAGATAGCTACTGTGGCACACTTAAATAAATGCTGCATCCAGAGTCCAGGTTGTGTGTGGGAATGTGTGTCTTTTGGAAGGAGAAGCTCCAGCTGTCATCAGGTTTTCTGCACACCCCACTAGAAGGTCAATGGCTAGATAGGGGTTGCCTGCACGAAGGTCAATGACCAGTTAGAGGCTGCCGGCACTGCAGTAGCCAAGAGTCTACCATTCTCCCTGGGTACTCGGTCCGATTCTGGAGGAGCCCTTTAAAGCACAACTTTGTATAGACTAATTTCTACTCTGAGACTTTTTCTAAGTGAATAGTGCCTTTGTGCGCCCTCTGGTGGATATTATAAAAATGCAGCCCTAGTAGCTGCATCCTGAGTGAGTATTTGAAAATACTTACAGAAACAAATGTTTCTTTCCTATTCTCTTAGGTTGTCTCACATTAAAATGCACCCAACAAGAATCATACAACACTCATTTCCTCATCAGAGAATAGCAAATATGTTATTTAGTTTCTATGTGGTCCTTCGAAACAATGAAGCTAAATCTAAACTATCATAATAACTTGGACAAAAGTTGTTTAACCATCAAAAACACATTACACATAGGCCATTCTACATCCACTCGCAGAACGCAGAGTCTTTCTTGAAGACGCTTCATGTCATTGGCGATACATTAAGACCCAAAAGTAAGTAACCATGGTTGATTAGAAACGTGAAGTGGGCTAGAGTCGGGATGATATGCCTTAAGGTTGTCAGCATCTCTTATTGGACCCCACCTTCCCGGAACAGTCCTCTCCAGAAATTGCCAGTTCTCCAAACATGGTACTCATGGTTCTCTCATTTATTTTATTTTTTATTAGTTTTGTATGTGTGCATGATGTGTGTGTGTGGGGGGTGTACGTGCTGTATCGTGCATGTGAAGGGCACAGTACAGCTTTGTGGAGTTTATATGATGTGATGATTAGCTCTGTCAACTCTACACAACATAGAGTCACCCAGGAAGAGTCTCAATGAGGGATTGTCAACATCAGGCTGACCTGTGGGCATGTTAGTGGGGGATTGTCTTGACTATGCTAATTGATATGCAAAGACCCAGCCACCACAGATTGGGCAGCATGGTCCCCTGGGCTCGGGATCCTGAACTGAATTAGAGTACAGAGGGCAAGCTGAGCAGTGGGCATGCATTTTCTCTCTCTGCTCTTGACGGAGGGTGTGTCTAGTTGCTTCACGTTCCCGCCTTGACAACCCTGCCATGACGGAGTGTGACCTGGAATTATGACTCAAGTAAGCCTTCCCGACTGAAGTTGCTTTTTTCAGGGTGCTGTACACCAGCAGCATGAAGGAAATTTAGGATTTGTAGGTTCAAGGGACTGAACTCAGGTGAAGAGGCTTTCTTTCACAGCAGGTACTTTACCTCAGGAGCCGTCCTGCTGACCTGCTTATTTCTTTAGAAAATTCAAGACCCCATGAGCATTATAATAAAAACCTGATTATATTCTCCACCAGTGATCAGCTGCTGAAGAGGAATCAGGAGGATGTGGGGCCAGTCATCCTAGACTTGTGTCTGAACATGGACATCACATCAGCCATCTTGAGAGCTATCCATATCCAGTTGTGTCACTCATGTGCTGTGTTTTGATAAAGTAAGGTCTTTGGGTGATCTGACATGGTTTAGTGACTCACGTTCTGCTGTGACAGTAGTTGCCAGGAGGGGCTCTGCACAAGGAGTACCAATCACCTGGAACTTGATAGTCTAGGCATCCAGGTACAATGCACCATTTGGGGACCCCTGCCATCGAGCACATCTACACTGATGAGTCCAAAGATAATACTGTGTGTCCCAATCATGTGAAAGTGTTCTACTTACAGTTAAACAGAAAGAGTATCCAAAGCACGGGCAGCAAGGCATGTGTTGAAGATTTAAGTTCATTTTCCTCTACATGTGGAGGTATATTTGGACATAGGCCAAAAAGCATTCTAAGATTTCCCAGGAACTTACTTCTCTTGGTGGTTATTTTTTCGTTACAAATAAAATAACCAGCCTGTCGTCAGACAGACCATGTCACATTCATTTAGCGAGTGTACTTCCTTGAGGCATGATTACCTGCAGGTGGGCTTTTCACATGGCATTCATCCCTCTTGATAGAAAGTTCTTCTTCCAAAACCTCCTTGATTCTCCTATGAGGCTCACAGTATAGAAACGTCTTCCCTGGAAAGACATTCACAACGGATTTATTGCCAACTCTGCCCAGCCTCCCAGCCATCATTCCTATATGAATAACTTTTTAAAAGATGGCATGTCATTCCTTAGAACCAATAGACTGCTCGCCCTGTGGGCTCTATCTTGGGATTAGTTCTCTCATCACAACTTCTGGTTTGGAGGACTTCGTCTTTTCCTGTAATTCCCGAGTGTGTGGAGCCAAGCTTCGGGATTCTCTTTAAGTAGGGTGAAGAAATATATGAAGTGTTCTCGTTGCCTTAGTGAACTTTCCCTTATCAACGAGGAGGGGTTCCAGGCTTGTGGTTTGCTTTGCTTTGTGTCAAGGTCTCTTTGTGTCTCCCAGGCAGCTGTAGAATCTGCTGAGATTACAGGTATGCATCATCGTGCCCAGCAATGAATTCTGGTTAAAGACCTACTCTGTTCCTGACATTTGGCTTGGGGATGAAGACAAAGCAAAGGGTAAGACACATCAGTGCCCAGATCTTACAGTCCAGATGTAGAATGCAGTGTGTGTGTGTGTGTGTGTGATGCATATATGCTCCAGTGTGCCTGTGGAGAGGAAAGAACACTCAGTTTCAGTCCTTGTCTTCCACTCCTTTGAGACAGGGTCTCTTCTCTCTCTTTGTTGTTTTCCATTTCGTATTGCCAGGCTGCATGTTCTGAAAACTTTCAGGAACTCTCATGGGCTAGCCTCCCATCTCACCACTGGTGCATGGAACTACAGGTGGATGCTACTGTGTCTAGCTGGGTTTGAACTCAGGCCCTCAGGCTTGCATAGCAAGTGTTTTAAGCAGCCTCTCTAGCCTTACTTCAGCACCTTTAGGGTTTACAGCCAACCACTGGTCTGAGCATGGGGTCCCTGATGGAAGAGTTGGAGAAGGGATGGAAGGAGCTGAGGGTGCTCAGAGGGACTGGACCACCAACCAAAGAGTACACATGGAGGGACCCATGGCTCCGGCCATGTATGTGGCAGAAGATAGCCTTGTTGTACATCACTGGGAGCAGCAGCCCTTGGTCCTGTGGGGGTTCCATGTAGGGGAATGCCAGGGCAGGAAGGCGGGAGGGGGGTGGGGGAGCACCCTCATAGAGAAGGGGGAATGGGATAGGGGGTTTCCAGAGGGGAGAACTGTAGAGGGGATAACATTTGAAATGTAAATAAAGAAAATATACAATTGATCCCAACTGATGACTCATCAATTAAAAATGCTTTCTGCTTCTTCAGAATACTGGTATTCTGTTTCTAGCACTTACAGGGTGGCTCACAGCAGCCTGAAACTCCAGCTCTAGGGAATCCAATGCCCTCTTCTGGCCTCTGTGGCCAGCCACGTGCAAGGACACATGAACACACACAGATACATGGACATGCACACACACACACACACACAATAAATCTTAAAATAAGAGATTAAACCCATAGAAGTTAACTTCGGGTGAAGACTTAGGACCTTTTCCTGGCCTCCAAGGCTGGCCTCACCTCTCCCTGTTTGCTCCAGCCCAGGACTGACATTTGTTCTCAGTGCTTTGCTGAGTTCTTTCTGTTCTTCCCAAAGAACAGAACCATAAGAGGACAGGAATGTTGTGTGCTTTCTGGCCTGGGCTACATCTTCAGATTCATCTTGCTGTAGGCTTCGCCATGCTCAGTCTCCCACCCCTGGCCCTCCCTCCCCTCTGATCTCACTTTTGCATGACCAGTTTCTCTTCAGAGCTGCTGCCCAAGTAACTGCCACTCAAATTATAAATGCCAGCTTTACTGTGTATCAGTTCCTCAGGGAAGCGTCCCTGGTTCTACAACCTACAGCTGCCTTTTTTGCCTGGAAACCTTTCTTTCATCTTTTGTTTCATTTATTGTCCCTTCATTTGCATATCTGCATGAAATTGTTGTGTAACCAATGATTTAGTATCTGTCTTTTTAAAACCACCATCAATTCATAAAGGCAGAAGTCTTTCTGTCCCACTGATTGGATATTGAATGGAGTGTGGCATAAGAGATGGAAAGCAGATGTATGCTCGGGTACTACCCTACTACAGATGGATGTGTCTGTCAACACTAGAGAACAAGGGGTGCCTGTCACAATTCAAGGAGCCGGAGAGAACGCAAGAAAATCTGTTATACATTTGAGATTTGATGTTAATCTCACAAAGATATGGCAGACATCTTCTCTTATTCCAAGTTAACCAATAAGTAGCATGAGTGTACCTGTCCTGACTGCAGACTGGCTCAAACAAGACAAGACCCTCAGACATGACCCTGGCCCACTTCCAATGGTAAGGACTCAGACATGTCCCCAGGCTCAGAAAAGGTACAACCAGGCACTTTGAGGTTCTCGTTCTTGTTTCCGAGGTTTCGAGTCATGTGAGCAGGGACCAGCACTGCCTGAGCCTAATTGCTTTAGGCTTTCTCTGTACACTGACAACCTTCATGGGAAATAACGTGGCAAGGAAGGAGGCAAAGCTTATACCGGGTCACAGAGAAGAGCTGCCCGCTCAAAGTGCAGGTCTCTTGACTGACGCAGTTTGGTAACAAGAGGATTCGCGGAGGAAACTGCTGAAGGAGATTTCTGAGGCCTTGGAAATAGAGAGTGACAAAAAGCTAGAGAGGGGGAAGTCCTCTGTTAAGAAAAAGAAAGGGAAGGAGGGAGGGAGGGGGACTGGAGATAGAGAAAAAAAGAAAAAGACAACGGAAGGGGGAAAATCCACACACTGTGCTTTTGCGCATGCGCTGTGCTTAAGTGTTGGTCAGCAGGGAGTCATGCGCAGGGACAAAGCGCAGAACTGCTGAGAACTAGGCCGCTCTGGAGTTTGTTTTACAATAAGATTTTGCCAGGTTTCTAACAGCAATTGGTGCTGATTTTTATAATGCACCTGATCATTTTCCCTTTTCTCACAGTTGCCTGTGGGCTAATATAATTATTTATATTTTATAATAAGAAAAGCCTGGTGTGGTGGCCAATTGATCCCTGGAGCTCCCTGGCCAGACAGCCAGTCATCCAGCCAGTCTAGCCTATCCTGCACGAAAATGTCAAGATCAGTGGTACACACTTTCTCAATGAATCTGAGGAATGAGAGCTGGGATTGTCCTCTGGCCTTCATACATGTGTGTGCGCGCGCGTGTACACACACACACACACACACACACACACACACATATACAGAGGGGGAGAGAGAGAGAGAGAGAGAGAGGGACGGAGGGACGGAGGGACGGCGGGACGGAGGGACGGAGGGAGGGGATAAATTGATCTGGATGATGTAATGACTTGTATTTAGGAGCAAACACTCTCCTAGAGTGCCCAAGCAGAGGGAGCCTCCAGATGCTCCAGCTAGTCCCCAGAGAGGCAATCAAGGAGGCTCTGAGCAGCCCTGGAAGCTGCTTGCATTCCTCCTAGGCCCTGTGTTTTCACCCATCATCCCTCACCAGATGCTAAAGGATCAGGTACAGGAGGCTGCAACCCTCTTAGAAATACAGTTACAACTGCCTCAAGACAGTCTTTACTGATTTGAATATTGTTTGCTTATTCCATGGGCAGAGGACATAAGAAAGACTGCAGTGTAAAATTCTAACCCAGGTAGTGATTTGTGGGCTTTGACTGCCAGAGATGAGAGCTGAAGGTTTTAAGTATTTTGCCAGCCCTGGCTGATTTCATCTCCTTCCCTCTGTTCCTTGGTTTCCTGATCTGAGAAATGAAGGATGCCTGGGAAGAGGTGAGTGGTTCCTACCCTGCTTCTCAGACAAGTACGAGAGAGTGAACCTAGGTCCTGGAGCATGCTAGACAAGTGGTATGCCACCACCCACGCTCTGTCCCCCAAATCATCATACACATCTCTCTGGGTTAATGAATTCATGGTCCCTTTGAAAAGCAATGCTGTTAAGGACCAACTTAGTTGAGGATGATATCCAGCCTTTGGACTCAGGAATCCTTGGTGAAGATTAAGATAGCCCTCTCCTACATAGCCCTTGGCCTGAGGAGATCTTGAGGGCCTAACCTGCTCCCTATCCCCACTCACGGAGGCCTGCCTCTATGGCTGTCCCTGCTGTCACAGTAGCTTTCTGCGAGTGTCCTTATCTCCAAACAGCGGCTCTCCATCCCTCCCCCAGAAACTTTAAGTGCTACAGGTAATTCCATTTTGGGCCCCCCACCCTCCGGCCTTGTTGTCACTGGTCCCACCACTGCCAAGGTCTGAAGCTGGAGCTGAACTCACATTGTTGGCGAGACTCTTGGGGGCCTCCAGGCTCAGCACGCGCGCGGCACCCCAGCCCTGCGGGCCTAGGCTGCTCCCCATCGCGGCCCGCCTCCGAGGCTGTCCCTGCGGTCACCACCAGCGCCTCCTGCCGCCTCATGCCACCGGGGTCTCCACGGCCTACAGCTACCAGGCCTCTCAACTCCGCCACCGGCTGCCCTGGAATGCAAGGCGTCTGAGGTTGTCATAGTGACGACGGGTGCTCCGGGCCTCCAGGGCTCTGCCAACTTCCCCCAGGACCCTGGTGCGTGCAGCCAACAGCCTACACGCTACTAGGAGCAGCGATTCCTTAGATTCAGACCCACATAACGGACCCAGCTTTCTCAAGAGAGATGGTGTGGCTGGGAATCTGAGAGTCACAAAGGTTTGGGAAAGTGCCCTAGGCCACACAACTGGGATGTGACTCAGCAAAGGCTCCAAAGCCTCAAAGAGTTGATCACCACCTGGGGGAGGGGGTGGGGGGGTGTTGAATGTTGGGATGAGCCTCCCGAACAGGACCAGCAATTCTCCACTGGTCACCCATTCTGTACAGGTTCTGTACAGTGCTTTACTCTCACTTCTGGATTTGGACATGATTCCCAACCATTCATGTTGAAAATTCACAAGTTTGGGACTTTAAGTTGCTAAATAGCTGTAGTTAGTTTACAAGGATTTTTGTACTCAGTCTATAACAGCTCACAAATTATTTTCAAGTGACAAACCCACAGAATTGGAAACGTAAGTCAGAAAATCGAGAGTTTGCTTGAAGCAGTGGTTACCTCCGGTTCTCTTTTTTGCAGTCATTTAAAGTGGTATTGATTTTACAAAAGTTAAATGTGCATTATCTTAGAAAGTTAAATAATTCTACAGGGCTTTTAACAAATTTAGGAGACATCCCTCCCAATATGTCTACTGTACCCTAGTGCCAACTGCTTTTATTTTTGATAATTTCATGTTTGCAACCATTTAACCACATAAGTGGGGTTGAACTGTCTAGAAACTGACCTAACCAAATATGAGCACCCGATATAATACAAAGGTGCGTGTGTATATGGGTGACTGAGAGAGAAGGAAGTATTAAGTGGTGACATTAAATAAACTGGTTGTGCATCTGGAAAAAACTTGAACCTTAACTCCTAGTGTACAGTAAACACAAACAGCAGTGTCTTACTTAGGGTTTCCATTGCTGTGAGACACCATGCCCAAGTCACTCATATAAAGAAAAGCATTTAATGGAGGCTGGCTTACAGATTCAGAGAGTCTATTATCATCATAGCAGAAAGTATGGCAGCCATGTAGGCATGGTGCTGGAGAAAGAGCTGAAAGTTCTACATCTTGATCCAAAGGCAGTCAGGAGAAGACTGTCTTCCAGGAAGCTAGGAGGAGGGTCTCTTCTGCAATGGGTGGAGCCTGAGCATAGGAGGAAACATCCAAAGCCCACCCCACAGTGACACACTTCTTCCAACAACACCATATTTCCTAACAGCACCACTCCCTGTGGGCCAAGCATGTTCAAACCACCACAAGCAGATTAAGATGGATCATGGTCATAAAGGTGAAACACCAAGGCCTCTAGGTGATAACTACTGAACATGTTCATGACCCTGAAGTTGGAAAGTGACAAAAGATATTAACCATAAGAAAATGATAAGTTAAAGAATGTAAAAATTAGGAGAGTCTTTTGAGTGAAGTCAGCTATTAAGAGTGTGGAGAGTCAGGTCACAGATTGGGAGAACATTTTCTCAAAACACACTGGTCAACAAATAATCAGGACCCAGATTATATAAAGAACTCCTACAGATCAGCATGAACAGGGTATACAACTCAGTAAGAGCATGGAGAAAAATAGACAAATGGATACATGAAAAAAGAGGAGATCCGAACAGCTAACAAACACATGAGACATTGTCCCTAACCATTATTCATCAGATCAAGCACATGAGACATTGTCCCTAACCGTTACTCATCAGATCAAGAACATGAGACATTGTCCCTAACCGTTACTCATCAGATCAAGCACATGAGACATTGTCCCTAACCGTTACTCATCAGATCAAGCACATGAGACATTGTCCCTAACCGTTATTCATCAGATCAAGCACATGAGACATTGTCCCTAACCGTTACTCAACAGATCAAGAACATGAGACATTGTCCCTAACCGTTACTCATCAGATCAAGCACATGAGACATTGTCCCTAACCGTTACTCAACAGATCAAGCGCATGAGACATTGCATCGTCAGGCCAAGCAATGCAGTCTTCAAGGTGCTGTTACTTCCCACATGCTAGAGTGGTTGGTTGCTAAACCAACAAACACTAAACAGTCCCAGCATGAGTAGCAAGGGTTGGAAGGAGCATAGCAACTGGGTTTTCCTTCCTACTGTTGAACATCACCTAAGCTGGCCATAGAGGTTTAGATAGGAGGATTGTTTCTGTCCAGCTGGGGCAACGTAGTGAGAACTTGTCAGGAACAGGAGTGTAAATGTTAACCAGTTTAAAGATTTTGAAGAGCTGATGGGTGTTTGTTTGTTTGTTTGTTTGTTTGTTTTGCTTTTACTAAAGAGGGTAAGGACTTCACAGTCCTAATATGAGACACACACTGAACTATGGAAGAGATAAACCCAAAAGGTGTCCCAGAATGGTCCCAACAGCACCTTTCACCAGAGCCCCAAAGGCTTACAGAAAAATTAGAACTAAGATGTATCTATCCATTATTGTGTTCTTAGAATATCACAATGAAAAGCAGCAAACTCTTTCCTTTATTTTTATTTTTTTCAGCAAACTCTTTCTTTATGTAGAAATATGGGAGACTCACCGATGTAATGTTGTGCATAGTAAATTATTCCATGGTGTGGCAGAAATTAAGCAATGATGAAGACAGAGTAGTGGGCAGCTTTCAGGACGAGCAGTGGCTAGCTTTATAGCTGAGGGTGTGGTAGTGGCTAGCTTTGTGGAAATACCAAGGGTGTGCAAGGCAGGCTTTGGGGACCTCAACTGTACTTTGCACCTTGATTTGAGGGTAGCTACACAGTATGTTCATTTTGTATAGTTCACCAAGGTTTCTAACTTTTTGTCTGTATGTTATATCTCTACAAGTTAAAAATTAAGCATATTTTAGTTAGTCTTGTTCCCAGCAGGCCTCCAAAGGTTCCACGATGGCAGAAAGAGTGCCTTTAAAATTTTTTCAATCACCATATGTGTATGCCACTTGAAATTCTTTTGTATATAAATTATTGGCTAAATCTATAAGACATTATTTTAGCTGTTTACATTTTTATTCTGGAAAACCAAACAAACAAAAGCCAAACAAACAAACAAACAAACAAAAAACCCAACCAACCAAACAAACAAAAAAACAGAACCAGGGTAGTTGATGTTTCCTCTTTGTAATTAAATGAAAAAGACCAAAATGTCCACCAGGTGGAGGCAAAACCAAAGACCTAATTGAATAACACACGCACAGACTCACAGGCAGACAAACACACATACAAACAAATGCACATACGTGTACCCAGTGTGAAAACATGAAGTTTTTAGCAAAAGAAACAAAAAGCTATTGCACTATCAAAATTACCATATTAAACCGATGATCCAATAGTATTTTAGTGAAAATATAGGTGGATATATTAGCATTGTATTTTTAAGGAGAAAAATTAACGTTTTATTGATTCTTCGTGATTTTCACTTTATGCATCCCAGTCTCACTCATGCCCCATCCCCTCACATCCAACCTTCGCCCTTGCAACCTCCCCCACAAAAAAAACAACAGCAACAACAAAAACCAAAGCATTGAAAACATCTCATTGTAGAAGCTGCAGTGTGTCATAGTGTGTTCCACCGTACACCCCTCTGTCCACACGTCTTCACTTGTAAATGGTCACTGCAATGAGTCACTGGTCTGGTTCTAGATCTCTGGCTTCTGTGACACCGTCATACTGGATCCTCAGTGGGGGCTCCTCCCAGTTATCCTGTTGTTGCCCTGTGTCATGGAGATCCTGCAGCTTTGGAACAGCAGGACTGGCCCTTTCATGGATCTCAACCATCTGGAGATGATATAGATTTTGGAGTGTGGCATCTCAGAGCCCTGGCTCTGGGTCTGGGTGGTAGCAGAGCTGGTCAGCCCACCAGCTCTCTCTTGTCTGCACCACCGTGGCAAGCTCTCCAGCACTACTCTGGATAGCCCATCCAATGCCACCATCAGCAGGAGGCAGGGTCAGCTCTCCTGCTCTCGTGCCTTCAGGACCAGCTCAATGCACCCACAGCTCCAGAGCCATCTTCACCTTGCCCAGTCAAGGTACAGGGCCCACTCTCCCAAGCGCTTCCGCCAGTGAGGGGCAGGGCCAGATCTCCAGACTACTGAGGGTGGCGAGGGGTGAAAGTGGGGTGGGGTAGGAAAGTAGGTGGTGAAGAAGGGGAGGACACTCCCTGCATCCATGCCACCTCACTGCTGACAAGCGGTGGAGCCAACTCTCCTTCATTCTCACCCTCAGGGATAGCTCACTTTTACCTTTCAACCAGGCAAGCTGCAGGGCTCACTCCCCTGAGTGTGATAGCCAGCAAGGGACACATGCCAGCTCTTTTGAGCTTATGACCCTGGGGGCAACTTTCCCAAGTGCCGGAGGTGGTGGGAGCAGGGAGCATCACCTCTGTGCCTAGTGGCAGGGTTAGCTCTCCCACATGTATGCCCTCAGGACTGGCTCCTCTGTGCTGCCAAGGTAACGCACAGGGCCAGCTCTCCTCTGTGCTGCATCCAGTGAGGGGCAGGGCCAGTTCTGCATAGGCCCTGGACATCTATGTGGTCCCTGGTGGCTGTCCCAGTCAGGGACATCCTCACATTTTCTAGTGGTAGTATGAGCCATGGACACTGACACTGACCCCAGTGGGTAACTACTGACTCAGACATGGCCCTCAGCATCACCTTGGGCTAGGGCCTCACCATGGTCCCAGGGAGCAGGGCTGGCCACTCACACCAGGCTACTACTCTCCACCCTCGAGTCTCCATCTATCTTCACAATGCTCAAGCTGCTCCACTTCTCTTTCTCCCATCTGACCACCACATACTCATACATTGTGGTGGCTTCCTCTGCAGGATGGCCACATGGTTGGCAGGGCCTTAAGTGACATCCTCCATCCACATTGTGTGGAGTGTCAGCTAGCAGGTATCTATGGTCCATTTGTGACATGTGGAGGG